TTTTTGAAACCCAAAATATGAGTCAAACAAGAAAGTGAGTGAGTATATAATATTTCGATTTTATTACAAAATCATCATCAGACTAACTATAGTTACATTATATACATGGTCTTATATATAACCAAAACTGACAAAATCATTTTTGACCCCGTTTTTGAAGAAAAATTGGTCGCTACAACTTTTTTGAAACGGACTTTGAAAAAACTAATTCTTGATTCGTGTACTAAAACCGCGTTCGCATTTAATAATCATCTTTTTGAGCAAACTGATGGCGTTTCTATGGGGTCTGCACTGGGGCCTGTGCTATAGCTAACATCATTCTTTCGGAATTTGAAAAACTTATTGTTTCGGATCTAATTTAATCTGGTGTCATAAGGTTTTACCGCAGATACGTTGATGATAGAGAGTGCTTATAAAACGTTCGCATATTCCTGCTGTTCTCAAATTTAATAGTTTTGACAAAAATCTCCAATTTACAGTTGATACCTTTTCGGATAATGTAAATCATTTTTTGGACATTTTGATTTCGTCGGATAACATTGATGTTTACTACAAAAGTACGCACACTGGACAATACACGCATTTTTCTAGTTTTAAACCATTTTCACGTAAATCTTTGTTTCACCGAGCATCAAAATTATGCAGCACCAGTCAAATATTTGAAAACCAAGTTCGGAAGCTCAAAATGTTTATATCTTGGAACGGCTTTCCTCGTGCGATCAGAAATTTATTGATATCCAAACTCAAAAACAAATTTTCTACGGATCGACCTCGCACTAACTTCTTTGACGAAAACGACACCAGGCCTAAGGTTTCGGTACGCGTTCCATACCTTGGTAAACAACGTGAAACTTTAATTAAAAATTGCATAAAGAAAATACAAAGATGCCTAACTGTTCCTGTAAATTTCATAGTTATTTATGACAACAAAAAGTTTTCTTATTTTCCTTCCAACACAACAAAGACAATATTCCGAATCCTTCGGAATCTAATGTAGTTTACGAAGTGACATGTCCTGGCTGTTCCGCAACGTATATTGGGAAAACAGAAAGATGTTTACAGACGCAACTCGCTGAGCATACCAATCCGACCAAAAGTGCTATTGGACAACATTTTCACAACTGCGAACATGTGCAATACATTGTAAACCTACACTTTGCTTTTGACAAACTTAACAACCAAACTGACGCTGACAATAACGTTTCCACTTTTATTTCCAACTTAATAATTGACAACTCTCGAATTCTTCACACTATTTATTCTCGCACATCTAATGTTCTCTTGTTTCTTGAAGCTCTATATATCAAGTACCATTCACCCAGTTTAAAACACTGGACTCAAAGCCAGCAAAGAACTCAAGCATTTTTCTTAATCTATTCACCCACATTTCATCACACTTACATCTCACTGGACCTGTCGTTGTTCTGATTGAGACTTCCGTTATGTCATCATGCCTTGCCAACTTGTATATAAGACCATGTATATATTGTAACTATAGTTAGTCTGATGATGATTTTGTAATAAAATCGAAATATTACTCACTCACTTTCTTGCTTGACTTATACTTTGGGTTTCAAGATGCTTATCTTCGGATTATGTTTTGTACTATATTTTTTGAAATTGTCGGCTGGTATTGATATAAGGCAAAGGCAACAAGGAAATTGTAGTGCCATTCTTAATTACAGACATTAACATTGGACCCCCTATTATTGGGTATAATGTGATCGAGTTAATTGTAAGACAAGAGACCAGCGATGGAAACACTAATCACTTGGCAGACAGTATGATTGCAAGTTTTGGAGGATACAAGAGTGAAAACGTTACAAACTTAATTCGTGTGATTAACCAGAATGACCCAGATGATCTATGTTCAGTTAAGACAAAAAAACAAGATATAGTAATTCCAAAATCACAAACCGTGGATGTGCCTTGTCGGGCAAACACAGGTCCAGTTAACTGTGCAATTCCTGTGCTGTTCGAACCAAATGAATGTCCACAGTTACCCTCTGGGTTGTCTATACAAGAGGAACTAACATCAGTCAGGCAAGGGAACTCTTCTTTGTTGCACATTAAAGTCACCGATGACACAGATCACGATATTACCTTATATGGCAGAACTGTTTTGGGACGCTTATAGTTAGTTCGATCTGTGACGCCGTTAGAAACAAAGTTTAAAGAGACTATGGTAACGAAGTTGGTAACGAATCCCAGAGTGAGTCTCCACAACCAAATCGTAGACAAGAACAGGTCGATCTTACTGGTGATGCTGACATACCTCCAATAGACTTAACTGGTTTAACTGTTGAAGACCAAGCATTAGCTAGACAACTACTCCGCGAAGAACGTGACTCGTTTGCAGATCCCTGATCTACAAATGGATTTAACACTAAAGAATGACAATCCTGTTCAAATGAATTACATCTCTACTCCCCGACCACTATACCCTGAAGTTAAGGGATATATTGGGGATTTTTTAAACAGAGCTTCATACGAAAGTCAAAGTCGCCATATTCCAGTAGCGTGGTTTGTGTAAGGAAAAAGGACGGTGGAATGAGATTGCGCGTTGACTACAGGGAATTGAACAAAAACACAATACCAGATCGTCATCCAATCCCACGAATACAGGAAACGTTGGACGGCTTGGGAGGTAAATCCTGGTTTAATGTCCCGGATCAAGGCAAGGTTTATCACCAGGGATTCATTGGAGAAAAGAGCCAACATTTGACAGCTTTTATAACGCCCTGGGGCCTAAACGAGTGGGTCCGAATACCCTTCGGACTGATGAATGCACCCGCGAACTTCCAACGTTTTATGGAGAATACCCTCGGAGATCTAAGTATTCCTTATGTTTTCAAGTTCCTTTGCAGACCACATTGAGCATTTACGTAAAGTACTTCGAAGATTGCGAAGAACGGAGTAAAATTAAAGCTATCAAAGTGCACTCTGTTCAAACGTGAGGTCTACTTTTTAGGCAGAATCGTCTCGCAAAGCCACCAGTGCAGTGGAAGCCTGGAAGAGCACTGTACAAACCACGAACGGTTGGGGACATCAGAAAATTAATGGGATTCCTTGATGTTTATCGTAGACATATCAAAAACTTTGCTCAAAAGCAAAACCAATGTATGAGCTCTTGAAAGGACAATCTAGTTCAACCGGTCACGAGAAAGAAAAGGGAAAATCAGCACTATCAGGAAAACGAAGCCAACTGTCATCGCGTACATCTGTGGAGTGGACTTCAATTCACCAATCAGCATTAGAAAATCTATTAAACGAGGTCACATCCCCTCCTATTCTAGCGTACCCGAATTATGAGTTGTCTTTCGTTGTTCACACGGACGCGTCACAGGAAGGCCTGGGAGCAGTCTTATATCAAGAACAAAATGGATCCTACGAGTTATCGCATATGCATCAAGAGCATTAAGCCCTTCCGAGAAAAATTACCATTTGCACTCAGGGAAGCTGGAATTTTTAGCCTTGAAATGGGCGGTAACAGAACAGTTCGGGGACCATCTATATTATGCTCCAAAGTTCCTGGTCTACACTGACAATAATCCCTTGACCTATGTCCTCACCACCGCGAAATTGAACAGTACGCGACTACGATGGGTTGGCGAATTAGCTGAATTCAAGTTTGGCATTCGATATAGGCATAAACAGGATAAACACGGATGCGGACTGTCTTTCTAGACAACCATTAGAGATACGCGAATTTATGACAAGCTGTAGCGAAGAGATCTCTCTAGAAGCCATCCAAGCGACTATTTCCTCTGTTCAAGCCCACGCAGCTGGTGATGTAGTTTGGTTGACAGCTGTAACGGACGAGACTATTGAGCTATTGGAGAGTACAACGTCAAGCAGGCTGAAAGTAATCAACATCCTCAAAGGCCAGCAGGAAGATCCAACGATCAAACGTGTTCTACAGTTCTGTAAGCTGTGTCAAAAGTCGAAAGTTACTGATCAACGCCGAGAACCGCCCCAAGTACGGAAGTTCTTAAATAAATGGAAACATTTACACATTGACCGGTTTGCTGTATCATAATCGGTTGGTTTACCGCGAATTACACGAAGAAATGGGACATTTGGGAGTAGAAAGAGTGTTA